GCTCGGTGCCTAAATTGTCAGCAGGTAAAATATGAGCATCAACGACCGGGTGGATTACTTCAGAAGTTAGAGATTCCAGAGCGAATCACTATGGATTTCGTTGTTGGGCTCCCACAGACTCAGAGGAAGTTCGATGCAGTTTGGGTGATTATGGATAGATTGACCAAGTCAGCTTATTTCATTCCTGTGGTTACTACTTACTCTTCAGAGCAGCTGGCTCAGGTTTACATTCGCGAGATTGTTAGGCTTCATGGCGTACCGGTATCTATCATCTCTGACCGGGGTACACAGTTTACATCACGGTTCTGGAGAGCCGTACATTGAGAGTTGGGTACTCGGGTAGAGTTGAGTACAACATTTCACCCTCAAATGGACAGACAGTCCAAGCGTACTATTCAGATATTAAAGGATGTGCTTCGTGCGTGTGTGATGGATTTTGGGGGTGCTTAGGATCAGTTCTTGCCACTTGCGGAGTTTGCCTACAATAACAGTTATCAGTCGAGCATTCAGATGGCTCCGTATGAGGCCTTGTATGGTAGGCGGTGCCGGTCTCCAGTAGGTTGGTTTAAACCGGGCGAGGCTAGACTATTGGGTACAGACCTGGTTCAGGATGCTTTAGAAAAGGTTAAGTTGATTCAGGATCGACTCCGTACAGCCCAATCTAGACAAAATAGTTATGCAGATCGGAAGGTTCGTGATATTGCATTCATGGTTGGTGAGCGAGTCTTGATCCGGGTTTCACCTATGAAGGGTGTTATGAGGTTCGGAAAGAAAGGCAAGTTAAGCCCAAGGTATATCGGACCTTTTGAGATTCTTGAGAGAGTTAGAGAGGTGGCTTATAGACTTGCACCACCACCTAGTCTCTCTGCAGTTCATCCAGTGTTCCATGTTTCTATGCTCCGGAAGTATCACAGCGATCCGTCTCATGTGTTAGACTTCAGCTCAGTCCAGTTGGACAAGGATCTATCTTATGTCGAGGAACCATTGGCCATTTTGGACAGACGGGTTAGAAAGCTAAGATCAAAAAGCATTGCTTCAGTGAAAGTACATTGGAGGGGTCATCCGGTTGACGAGGCGACTTGGGAGACCGAACATGATATGCGCAGCTGTTATCCTCATCTTTTCACCACTCCAGGTATAATTCTAAACTCGTTTGAGAATGAATGTTTGTTTAAGAGGTGGAGAATGTAACGGCCCGACCGGTCGTTTTGAGAGTTATAGTTTCATTTCCCTATTTACTGCTCAATTTATGCTTTACATTTGTTATGTGACTTGCGGGGGAGATTAGTTTGGGTCCGGTGAGGTTTAGGAATGAATTGGAACACTTAGTTTTAAGGTTTAAAGTTTAAGTTGAAATAGTGAACGGATGTCGACTTATATGTAAACGACCCCGGAATAGAGTTTTGATGATTCCAATAGCTCCATATGATATTTTGGACTTAGAAACATGTCCGGAAATTTATTTGGAAGTCCATAGTGGAATTTGGCTTGAAATGGTGAAAGTTGAATTTTTAGGAAGTTTGACCGGGGAGTTGACTTTTTGATATCAGGTCGAAATCCAATTCTAAAACTTTTCATAGCTCCGTTATATCATTTATGACTTGTGTGCAAAATTTGAGGTCAATCGGACTTGATTTGATAGGTTTTCGGTATCGAATATAGACGTTGGAAATTCTTAAGTTCCTTACGCTTGAATTGGGGTATGATTCGTAGTTTTAGCATTGTTTTATGTGATTTGAGGTTTCAAATAAGTTCGTATGATGTTTTAGGACTTATTGGTATATTTGGTTGAGGTCCCGATGGCCTCGGGTGAGTTTCGGATGGTTAACGGATCAAGAATTGAAGCTGGGAGTCTGCGAAAGTTGAGTTTGCTGGTTTTTGGCTGATCTGGTTTTTCCTTCATCTGTCAAAAATTGAGGTCAAAATCGAGGTCATGAAATCGAAGTCATGAAATCGAGGTCAGGAAATCGAAGTCAGGTAATCGAGGTCAGGAAATCGATGTCAGAAAATCGAGGTCAGGAAATTGAGGGTAGGAGATCGAGGGCAGGAAATCGAGGGTAGCGCTTGGACAGATTCTTTAAGTTATAAAACGGGGGCTTCGTCTCATTTTTCATTTTTGACAAATTGGAGCTTTGAGAGAGGCGATTTTTGAGATATTTTCAAGAAAAAATATTAGGGTAAGTAATTCTAACTCGGATTTGGTCAGTATACACGAATATATCATTGTTTTCATCATTTAATTAGTGTTTTGAGATGAAAATTTGGGAAAAATTTTAGAGATCTCATAAAATAAATTTTTGAGATTTCGGTGTCGATTCAGAGTCGGATTTGAGTGAAACTAGTATGGTTGGACTCGTAATTGAATGGGTTATCAGATTTTGTGAGTTTCGTAGGATTCTGAGACTTAGGCCCCACGGGCGATTTTTGGGGTTAAATTTCGGATTTTGTTAGAAAATTTGTATTTTCATATGGAATTTATTCCTATAATTTGTATTGATTGACAAATTAATTATGACTAGATTCGAGCTGATCGAAGTCGAAAAATCGAAAAAAAGGCATGCTACTTGACTGATTAAGCGTGGTTTGAAGTAAGTGACTTGTCTAACCTTGTGTGGAGGAAATTCTCCTTAGGATTGATATTGATATAAAAATATTAATGTGTTGAAAGTCGTGTACACGAGGTGACGAGTGTGTACACGGGCTAAATATGGAAGATTATGTTATTAAACTGTGTAGAGCACTGTTGCATATTAATTAAATTATTTTATTCTGTTATATTCATCATCGTTAATATATTTTCATATTTTAAATTTACCTGACTTGTTTTTGCTAAGTGTTTTACCTGTTTAGTTGAAACTCTGTTTCTTTTGTTCTGTGCATTTACTTGAAGGATGAATTTCTTAATTTAAATATTATTAAAAATAAAGTATTTTACATTTAAAAATTTGATATTTAGACAAGGTATTAAATTTGTGAAATATTATTTTTGCGGAATATTTTGTGAGATTTTCGTACTCATTGTGATGGAGCCGTAAGCTCTTTATTATGAAAAATATTGTTGTTGATTTATTTTGGCATATGCCGTGAGCTATTTATTGTGAAAAAATATTATTGTTAATTTATTTTGGCAAGTTGAAATATTTGGGCACTTGAGGTACAAATTGTGATATATTGTGATATTGATACGCATGCGGTGGTATAAGGTCTGGGTGTTGAAACGCATGCGGTGAGATAAGGGTGGCTTGATACGCATGGCTAGTAGGGGAACTACTAGAAGTCATGCGGTGTGATAAGGGTGGCTAAAACACGGGATGCTTTTTTGAAAAAAATATTTTCTTTAAAATTTAATGTGAAGGCATTTGAGACTACGAGGCGGTAACTCGGGAGTGCCCTTGTTGATATTTCTTTATGGATGCATTGTCTTTGGTTATTTTTGGTATTTTCCTTCCTTCTGCGAGGTGTTAATTGCCCTTATTCTGTGTAGTTAAACTGTGACATACTACTTACTTGATTTATCTCCATTGTCATTATTGTTAAACTTTTCTCTCTGTCTTTTATTATTCCAGTAGGGCCTGACCTGACCTTGTCACTACTCTACCGAGGTTAGGCTTGGCACTTACTGGGTACCATTGTAGCGTACTCATACTACGCCTCTGCACATCTTTTTTGTGCAGATCCAGGTACATCTTATCAGGCCAGGCATCAGTGAATTAGACGTACGAGGAGATTTCGAGATATATCTGCCAGCGTCTGCAGACTCCGGAGTCCCCTTCTATCCTTATTATGTTGCTTTCTTATTTTCTTTAGACTATGATATATAGAGATATTGAGGATAGATCCTTAGAAGCTTGTGACTTATTTCTACCGGGTTTTGGGAGTTGTAATTATGTGAATTTGCAGATTTATTTATTTTAGATTTCTATTGTTATTCCGCACTGATAGGCTTACCTAGTTTTAGAGACTAGGTGCCATCGACATCCTACGGAGGGAATTTGGGGTCGTGACAATATTAAACACATGTATCTTTGAAACGTTTTTTAAAATTTTTTATTGACTATAAAAATCTATCATTTGTTAAACAAATATGTTTTTATTATTTCAAATAAGTATTAAAAATAAATATTTTTATTGTTTTTATATTTAAAATATGTTCATATTTGAATATGATTAAACAAATTGAGTGTCATGAAAAATTAAATGTATGGATATATTATAAAAATTATAAATAAAATAATATAAAGTTATTTTGATTATAAGTAAAATACCTAGGTAAAAGAATATTATATAGTATATAATATAGAAGGTATTATATAAATGAGAGGATTTATAATGTCAAGGGCGTAATAAACTTTTCAAGTTAAATTATTATAAAATATGGTCAATGTGACTTTTGTGATAAATAGAGCAAAATAAAATAATTTTTGTGTAACAAAAGAAAGAAAAATGACTTTTAAGTACTACACACAAAGTTAAATAATTTTTACGTAACAAAAAAAAGAATAATAATTTTTGCGTAATGAACATAGACTTGAATGACGAAGATGAAATTTACTCATCCATCGTACAAATGAAATAAGATTATTACACATGCCTTTCACATTTGTGGAAAGTGCTAAAAAATTTAATAAGTCAAACGAATTGATCAAAAACATCGTACATTTGTGTTCGTTGGGAGTTGGAACCCAATCAAGAGGGAAGTACACTTTTCAGTTCAATGTCTATAGTGTCATTTTTGTGTATACAAAATCTATCCACTCTTTTAAAAGGAATATTATCAAGCATATAATACTCACAAAAGGTTTACTATGAGACCACTTTTATTCTTCTCTATCTATTCTTTTTTCTTAAAAGAAAAAAAAGAATAACATGTGATTACAAATATATTTTTCTCAAATTTTAAAAGTCGAATTAAGAGTTAAAGGTGTCTTTTAGCAAAATATCGAGATTTTCTTTCTCAAAATATTGATATGTGTGACTAACCAGTGATTCAAGGGTATAGTAGTCATTATAACAGTAAACCTCACGTAGTATCATTCTTGTGTGTAAAATCTTGCTTCAGTTTCAAGCGTTGGAAGCTCCGAAATCCAACACCCAAAACTCCAAGCCTCCATTGAAACAATGTCGACATCCGTGAACTTAGAAGATGTTCCGTCGGAAAGCCTCATGTCGGAGCTCCTCCGCCGCATGCGGTGTTCCTCCAAGCCTGACAAACGTCTTATTCTCATTGGTAATTATACTCACATCTGCTCTCTTTTGTTTGTGTGTATATCTGACGTTCACTGTCAAAATTCTTTCCTTTTACTTTATCATATGTTTTTTGCCAATCAGATCCACACGATTTATTTATTACTTTGTTTGTTTTGCTTTATGGTGTGTTATCGGTACATATATGTGGTGTTCACTCTCAAAGTTCTTTCTTTGAGTACTTTATATGGTTTTTGCCCTCATAATACTATCAGATCTACAGTTTTTCCATTTCAGTTAAGCAGAATTTTGTAATTGATTAGTTTATTTCTGTTGGGTTTTGCTCCTTGGGGTTTTGGGAGTGGGAGGGACATTGTGCATACTGTAAACGAGAGGAAAGTTCTGGAATTTACGTGAATTTTATCGTTTAGAGGATGAGACAAGATCTTCCAGAAAAAAAATCTCTGTTTTACACAGGTTGCAATAGGTTAAATTTATTAAGTGAAGTGATCAAAGAGTAAAATTGCACCCTTACCTTGCTCCCATTATTTACCATGCTCCTTGTCGGTGGCATTGTTCGAATTTGTGATACGCGCCTTACCTGTATCTCTCACGTCGTATCCTTAGCACTGAACCAAAGTCGTGAGGCGTATTTTGGGTTAATATCTATGTCTGAAGTCTTCTCTATATTTTTTAAAACAAGGTGACATAGATATATGATCTTTTTGGTACTACATTTGTGTCAGATGTTACTTATCCACAAATAAAATTGTGTGAGATGTTGAAAAGTCTAGAAGATTGGTTATGAATATTAGGAAAGTAAAAGAAAGAGTCTAGAAAGTCAGAAGTGATAAAAGGTTTGTGAAATTGGGAGGCACTAGGAGTGCAATAACTATGATATGAGAAGAAGCGAGTAGAAATGGTAAAACTTTGCCTTGTTTTGGTATGGGAAATCTTCAGCTCGAAGATGTGCTGCCTCCTTTTCCAACATTTCTGGAATTGGCTTGAAGTAGGATGCCATGGGGGATCTTGATGGAAGATAAAATATTTTGAAAATAAGAGAATTTTGACCATGTCAAATAACATCTACCTGCCCTGCGTGCGTGTCGGCTTATTTTTAAATCCGTACTGTTGCATTTTGGTTTCAAGTCTAAACAAATAATATGCTATGTCAAGCTACAATAGTATTCCTTAAAAGGAGTAATGAGTCAACCGAGCTTTCAAGTTAAAATAGGGATTCTGCCAGAGCATCTGGTTTCCTGACTATTTGTAATGGATAATTTGGTAATGATCCTAGCTTTTATGTTGTTAGCTTTCACGATACAAGAATTGAAGGTTAAGATCAAGTGTATATAACACTTAAAGTGATTTCATGTTGGCTTGTTTGGTTTTTTGCTGATATTGGGTGGAAGTAGCTATACTCTTCTCTGGTAAAGTGCTCTCTCTATATGCGAATGTTCTATGGTGTTTTTCCTTTTGGGAATCTCTTTGTGATTCAAGTCAAGCTACTACCCGCTCAACCCTTGGAACACTAAACCAGGGTGTCATCCTTCGGTCTGGAGTACCTAGACTTGATTGATTCTCAATAGTGTAAATAGAAAGGCAAAAAACATTCCAATGGATTCCACATGCCTCAAGGAGAAGACTGGACAATAATTTGCCTCCTGTTTCATGTTTGGGTCTCTTGGCATTTTTTTCTTCTCTAAGCTTTTTGCATAATGCTCGTAGGCGGCGGATATATAGGTGGTTGAAAGTTTTAGCCAAGGATATATATTTGGATTGGGTTTGGAGCTGGTTATTCTTAATGAGTTATACCAATTCTTCTTTTTCCTAGTTGACTAGTATATTTATTTCATAGCAATTGTGTTTTAATATTTCTGTTCTGGTTTACCATTGTTCTAGTTTCTCTGGACAAACAATGTCATCCATGTGCTCAATCTGAAGTCATTTGGGTGTTGAGTTCTCATCATATGGACTTATATGTAGAATTATTCTCTTTTGTTTTGCCATATTTTTGTGATAGATAATTCTATAGATTTTCCTTCTCTCTCCAAACTATTATTATGTTGAGATCTCTTTTTTTTTTTTGATAAGGTAAACTAAAAACTAGAAATATTTTGCAGGCCCACCTGGATCAGGGAAAGGAACGCAATCTCCTATCATTAAAGATGAGTATTGCTTGTGTCATTTAGCCACTGGGGACATGCTGAGAGCTGCTGTTGCTGCCAAAACGCCTTTGGGCATTAAGGCGAAGGAGGCCATGGATAAGGTCACATTGGGTGTTTATTTTGATTATTATTATGGTTTTCTGACTACCCTGCTTCTTTCAAGTTTCAACTAGAGAATACAAGAGAGAACACATTGGTTTTCCTTTCCTCAGTAAAATTGTTTTTGTACTATCTTTTCAGGGAGAACTTGTTTCTGATGACTTGGTTGTTGGTATCATAGACGAAGCACTAAAGAAGCCGTCATGTCAAAAAGGATTCATTCTTGATGGATTCCCTAGGACTGTGGTGCAAGCAGAAAAGGTTTTTTTCCTGTTAATCCATGACTATTTATGCTTATATTGTCTTTATGTTCAATTCTTGCCAGCTTTGAATCTTTGTAGTAGGAAATCATGTCGTTCTCTGCTTATTGCAGCTTGATGAGATGCTTCAAAATCGAGGGACTAAAATTGATAAGGTCCTTAATTTTGCGATTGATGATGCCATCTTGGAGGAGAGAATTACCGGACGTTGGATCCACCCAGCTAGTGGTCGTTCATACCATACAAAATTTGCACCTCCAAAAGTACCTGGGGTAGATGATGTAAGATAATACTGTCAAAATTTATTTATTTAATTGGTCTGTTCTGATAATACTGTTGTTCCTCTCTAACTTATCAAAAATAAAGAAGAAGTCTTTTTGCTGAAGTAGTTCATTGTAATGTGTCTGCAAAGACTGAGCAATTGTTTGTTTACAATTTTATAATCGTTATTGTCTGCTATGCAACTTATATTCTGTCAGAAAAACTTAGTTTCATAACTTTCTATATTAAGGACTTTCTCCACAAAAAAAAAAAAGGAAGCTCTGACATCTGAATCTAATTAAATTTTATTTGTCTTCATGAAGGTCACTGGAGAGCCTTTGATACAACGTAAAGATGATACTTCTGCTGTTCTCAAGTCAAGGCTGGAAGGCTTCCATAGGCAAACTGAGCCGGTAAATAGCTGTTTATCTCTTCTGATTGTGGGAGAAAGGGGAAAAAAGGAAAAATCATCTGTTTATCTAGTTGCTTTGGTAGAGAATTGATCTCAATCTAATATTCAAGCCCTGAATGAACTGAGTAGGTAGGATTCCTTTGGGGAAAGTATGTCCAGACTAAGAATTGCATTTGGGAATCTAACATAATGTATACGAGATTTGGCAACATTTACCACTCTGTCACTCGAAGTGTTGAAAAGAGAGATTTTTCAGTTTGCAATTGATTATAGCCTTTCATTTTAGGACAAAGATTATATACACAGGGTATAGCAGTCATTTGACCTAATAATGTTTGTTTATTTTAGTTCAATACATGTGAAAGCCAATGATCCATTTTTGTTGTCTGTTTGGGCTCTACTTTAGTCTCTGTCTCATGCTAAAGCTGTTTTGTTTTAATGTACAGGTCATTGACTACTACGCCAAGAAGGGTAATGTAGTGAATCTTCCTGCGGAGAAACCACCACAGATGGTCACAAATGAAGTCAAGAAAGCTCTCTCCTGATCGAAGGATGCCAAACTTTTTTGTTTAAAGGCTAGAAAATTGAACTCTGAATTTTGGTTTAACCCGTTATATTTCTAGGTGACTGACTTGGCTATTTATCTTTTATGGCACTAGGTTGGTACCAACCCCTTATGAACATCACAAAGATGGTGTATTTATTTTATTTTTAACATTGAAATCTAGTGAGCTTTTGCAGAGTGCCGTAGGAATTTGCACAAAGTTATTACTCTTTTGAGCCAGATTGAATTCAGAGGAGTGTAACAGAAGATGCAAAGTAGGAGCCACGATTTTCGAGTGTGTGGGAGGGTAACTGAAACGGCTTCTGGGTTCTGGAAATGTTATTTTCAGTAGTCTGCTTTTATGAAACATTAGTTTATCTGTCAACAGACTTATCATTTACAGGTTGCTCCACAAAAGCATCTCTCTTAGCTGCCCTCTTTTAGAAGAAAACAGTTTGTTTCCCCTGAAATAATGTTTCAAGAGGTTTAAGCTCTAACCAATATGAAAAAGATATCACGAGAAGAAACTATGTTCTAGGTGTTTGCAGGTTGCTTTATTGGCCTAACTTTTTTTATAGTTCCAAGCAATTCAGACAAGGCGCTTCTTGGTATAGTGCTATTTTGTCTGCTGAAACTAGTGTAGCATGTTTTCAATTAGATTTTTATTACTTTGTTGTATTATACAGCACAAAAATTGTCTGAATAACCTTTAATTAGATGGCGGTTGTGCCCCATTACAAGTAAGAAAAATGTGTTCTGCCTGCGTATCTCAACCTCCTGCGCTCCATTAAGGATGGGTTGTCAAAATTGAGAGAAGACGACTTAATGCAGTTTTAGTCGATCCTAACTTTGATCTTTTCTCAACGATAGCCTTTTGTAAGTACATATTGAGCATGTAAAGATTATACTAGTAATTGTTCTCCGATGGAAACAGTTGCAAGTAGAAAAAGAAAGTCATAGAAGCTGCCATGTCTTCCTTCGCCGGCAAGTACCTAAAAATGATGATTGCGAGGCTGCACCATCGATGCAAATCTCACATAGAACATCGAATGCGTAGATAATTGTCCATCTTTGAGAGTGAAGGAACCGTGAAGTAATAAAAAAACAGAGCTCCAGAAAATTTGAGTGTGAGAGTTGCAAATGCTACTAGAAGTTCACCTGCAGTTATGTTGCCAAAAATCGTCTCCGGAGGCTTCCCTTGTTCTGGTCATTCATTTGTTTTAGTTCCCTCCCACCCTTACCCTCTTCGAGGGAAGTTAAGGGTCTACAATATTCAATAAGTAGAAGTAAGAGGGGTTTCTTTGCAATTTGCAACTCTTTTTAGAAAAATAGTCGTACACGGGAAAACTGCAATATACAGTTGGTTAAGTTCTGGCGGGAAACGGAGAAAAGAATCTTGTAACCAACTTAACGGCAAATAATATCTTGACCAAAATCTCCCCTTCATCAGTTCTCTGATTTACTACGCTTCAAGTTTCTGTTATTCCACAGTTTTGTCTCTAGAAAACCATCTTCACCTGAATACATTTCTCTGCTTTTCTTCCACAAGAGCTTCTGTAAATTTCTCAGAGAATCTTCAATGGCGAGAACAAGAAATTCCAAGAGCTCATTCATCTCTCTCAACCCATCATTCTTCACTCATTTGCTCTCACTATTTCCCTTCAATTCCCTCAATTACTCACCCAAAAGGAACTCAAGAAACACCCAAACACATCTCTATTCATCTCCATTTCTCTCTTTCTGTTTCCTCTCTCTGCTCATTTTCCTCACTTTCTTTGGCATTTTGATGCTCACATTCACAACCCTTTTCCAAAATTCAGTCCCATGCCCTGAGACTTCTTCTTCTCCTCTGTTATTAGCCTCTATTTTGGCTGCAGCATCAGGTTCTGTTCAAGATGACCCAATTACTCTATCTACTGGAGCAATGGTGCCGCTTCCGGCTCACGGGGCGGTTGGAAATATTTCCGAGGAGGAAAAAGAGTTCTGGAAACAACCAGATAATCAGGGATACATCCCTTGTTTGGATTTCAGTCTCAAGAATCGAAAAGCCTCTGCAAAGATTTCCAAAGAGAGGAGGAAATTTTTGGTTGTTGTTGCTTCAGGAGGATTGAATCAGCAAAGGAATCAGATTGTTGATGCAGTTGTCATAGCAAGAATTCTTGGAGCTGCTCTCGTTGTTCCTGTTTTGCAAGTAAATCACATTTGGGGTGATGATAGGTAAAATATGAAGTTCCCCTTGGTTTTTTTCAACTGTTTTGACTCATTTGGTTTTCAAGATTATAAGTACTTACTTTTGTGTGCAGTGAATTTTCGGATATATTCGATGTTGAACATTTCAAGAAAACTTTGAAAGCTGATGTTCGAATTGTGACATCATTGCCATCTACACATTTTGTTTCTAAACAGACTATCAATCGTGAACTTCCTTTTCATGTATCACCGCTCTGGCTTAGAGCCAGATTTCTCAAACAAGTAAGAAATTGAAACTGCTCCTTTTGCTGTACTAATACTTGAGTTGAGTAGTGAATTGGTCATCCTGATTTTAGCATTGCCTATTGTCTAAATTTGTTATGTCCGTTCAATTTAGTCATAACTTTATGTTACATTTAATTTTATAGCTAAACGAAGAAGGTCTGCTTATATTGAAAGGATTAGATTCTAAACTCTCAAAGAATCTTCCACCTGACTTGCAGAAGCTCAAATGCAAGGTAATACAACGAACTGCAGCTTGTTTTCTGAACTAGTGATTAAGCTAAGTAGTTAAAAAAAATTGAGGAAGTAACTTCCTTGTTTTGTTGCAACACAGGTTGCATTCCATGCATTAAGATTTGCAACTCCAATTAGGGAGCTAAGCTATCAGATAGCTAGAAGAATGTGGATTGAAGGTCCTTATGTTGCTATCCATCTCAGATTAGAGAAGGATGTTTGGATCCGAACCGGATGTCTTACCGGTTTAGGCAAGCAATTTGACAGTATTATAAGTAGAGAAAGGGAATCTCACCCTGAATACCTCACTGGCAAGTTGAACATGACTCATGCACAACGGCGACTTGCAGGACTTTGTCCTTTAAATGCATCAGAAATGGCAAGGTAAAATTTGTTTAAGTCCTTGACCATGTTTTGTTATACTTTAAAATGACCTAAAATCATTCTCAAATGGGGCATTATATGTTACAGATTTCTGAATGGTTTAGGAGTACCAAGCAGCGCTCATATATATGTTGCTGGAGGAGAACCCTTTGGAGGCGCGCAAGCTATGCAGCCTCTACAAAAGGAGTTTCCAAATTTAGTCACAAAACATACATTGGAGCGAAATGGAGAGCTCACTCCATACTTGGAAAAATCTTCAATGTTGGCAGCTATCGACTACATTGTGTCTTTGAGCAGTGATGTTTTCATCAATTCCCATGGAGGTAACATGGGCCGAGCTCTCGAGGTATTAAGTAGCAATAGACTTGTTATTTATTTACTGATTTTTTTAACATTGGACAATGCTGATTGTTTTTTGAACTTTGGTGGTCAGGGACATAGGGCATATGTAGGACACAGAAAGTACATAAAGCCAAACAAGAGAATGATGCTGCCTTTCTTTGAAGATCCATCTTTACCTGAGGAAGAATTCAAAAGGATAATAAAGAAACTGCACAGGAAAAGTCAGGGGCAACCTGAGCCGAGGACGAAGAAGATTGACAGAGATGTAATAGCATATCCTGTCCCTGAGTGTATGTGCAAGCCATAATAGACATATCTCTGTGTCAACAATTTAGATCACTGGGGCTAAAATTTTGTATGCAAATGGTCATTCCAGTTTTAACAGTCAAATTTCCAGTTTGCCAAGTCTAAAATAGCAGTATGGGGACTAGTCAGATAATAAATCAGTATTGTAGAGTAAAACAAAAGGATATGAGAAAGTATTTAAAGTAAGGGTACAACTTCTAAGACAAAGGTAAAGGCTAAAACGTTATACTTTACACAGATCTGGCACATATTCTTAATAGTAAAGTGGAGTCTTTTCCACTTTAATCGCATTGCACTAACTAAAGTAAAGAAATGCATCTATTCCTCGTCACAGAAGAACGTAACTAGTAAATAAGAATTGAATAAAAATGAATCTGTTAACAACGACAACAACAACAACCCAGTATAATCCCACTAGTGGGGTCTGGGAAGGGTAGTTTATACGCAGACCTTACACATACCCTAAGGTAGAGAGACTGTTTTCGATAGACCCGCGGCTCCCTCCCTCCAAAAATGAATCTGTTAAGTGAAAATAATATAGGAAACTGAAAGTTGACTGCATGCTCATTCCAACTAGTGTTTCATATTTGAAGAGACGGAGGAGCCAAATTTTTAAGTTTATGGGTTCCAAAATTAAGATATGACAACTTATTAGGTTCGTGATAAATTATTTATACATAATAAGTGGGTTTAAGTTACTGGGTCTGTCGGATCCATAATTGCTACTTTAGCTTTGCTCCTGCTTTTTGTGCACAAAAATTTATTATCATTGGCATTGGTCCAAACCTTAGCGGAAACGTTTTACAAAAATTATATGTAAAATAAAAATAAAAACATAATGCTTTGAATTTGCCAATATTTTCTATAAGAAAAGTAATAGTTTAAAGAATATCTACTTGGCTTCAACAATTCACTTCTATGAAATGTTAGTATAAGAGCAGTACATAAAATAAAGTTTTTAGTGACGATGTTGGTCTTCTGTGGCGACCTCCATAGACCACAGTCGCGACTCGCCACCAAAAAGTAGATCTTCTTTAGCCTCCCCGAGAGAAGTGCTATATGTCGCCGTTTGAATTGGCAACTACATTTCAGTGACGACCGTCTGTGGCGACCTCCACAGTCACCGCAAAACGTAGTGCCAAGTCGCCCTGCACGAAGTGCTATGTGTCGCCATTTGAATTGTGACTTACCATAACTGACGACTCTGCCTGAGTCGCCACCAAAAGTTGTGATAGGTGTAGCTAAAATTTATTTTACAACAACATAGCCAGTATTATCCCACACCATGGGGTCTGAGGAGTTTAGTGTATACGAAAACCTTACTCCTAACTTGTGAGGATAGAGAGGCAAAATTTATTTTGTGACGCTATATTTTTATATATTTTTGTGACAACTTTGGTCGCTATAAAACTAACGATCTTAATGAATAATCGATATAGGTGTCAAGGGGCAGGGCCAGGCCGGTCAGGGGTAGAGGAAAAAGGAACCGGCCGTTTTCATTATCGGGCCGGTTTCGGTTATTTTTTACCGTGTTTATCAGTGCAAAATTTAACCTGAACGGTTCCGGATGGGCCTTTTTTAAAAAAAAAAATATTTTGTATTTTGTATAACAATCGTAATTTATAAAATTTTAAAAAAATTCAAAAAATAGCTTCTTAATCCGATCTGATTAACCCGTTCCCATATGACTTGACCATAACGGGTCGTACAGGTCCGATTAACCGGTACCAAAAATTTACTCAGCACAGTCCGGTCCCCGTCCCAACCCAGCCCTGCCCGGCCCCTTACCACCGATCCGGTTTAAAATTGGTCTGGGCCGATCCGGAACCGGGCCAGCCCGACCCGTTTGACAGCCATAGTTGAAACATTAATAATTCGAGGACTGATGCATATATCTTGACGTGATTTGATCCGGTAATGACAAACTTGAGAAAACACATTTTGAAAAAAGTACCTAGCCTTTCTTTCAAGTTCCAACAATAGAAGTTTATAGAAATGTGTCCATTACAATAAGGCGATTGTGTGTGTGGGCGGGGAGCCGGAGGAGAATAATCTGAACGAATTTGCACCTATTTGTATTGAAAATTGGTAGTTAAATTATAAGCATATATGATTTTCTCCCAACATTAAAACATTTCTTCTATAGGCGTTAAAGAGTTACAAAACGCAAATGCAATTTCACTTGATATATGGATTAGTTTCTATGTTTTAATTCCAACACTGAATTCGTATTCTTTAAAATGATTAACCAACTAACTATTGACTGATGAAATACGTAGACTTATATAGATAACTCGCGTTCAACCTACCTAGATCACTAATTTTGTTTAGTTCTTAAAATATCAATTGAAATCAACAAAGTGAAATTAAGTCACTTGAGCAAACTGTAGCATAATATCGTGAAACCGACATCATATATTATAAATGTCTGTTTTCAAGAAAGAAAAAGAAAAAGAAAGATAGCACTATATTTGACATTTTAAAAAATTTCAAGAATCTAGAAACTGAATAATTAGAAATTAATAATATTGAGTTTTGAACTACAATTTTGAAAGAAAGATATGCACTTAAATTAGTTTTCAGTAAACATTCTTAAAAACAATTTGATATGTTTGTGCAAAAACTGTATATAAGTTGTTTATAGTGGAGAATTTAATCTTTTGAATGCAAAATCAATTTTTTCCCCTAATGTGTGTAAAGTGAATACACAAAAGAAAGGGATCACCTTTCTATCTTTTTCCCTCTCTTCATTAGCGTCGCCCTCAAGCAGACTTTTCTAAAGTAACCACTACACCCATAAGATCCAAATAAATTGGATCGAGAGGAGAATAATCGAAACGAATCTGCACCTATTTGTAGGGGGAAGCGATTGGAGAATAATCAGAACGAATCTGCACCTATTTGTAGAGGGAAGCGATTCAGAACGAATCTGCACCTATTTGTAGAGGGAAGCGATTCAGAACGAATCTGCACCTATTTGTATGTTGGTACTTAAATTATAAGCTTATATGATTTTCTTCCAACATTAACATTAAGACCTTTCTTCTATAAGCGTTAAAGAGTTGCAAAACTCAAATGTAATTTCACTTGGTATATGGGTTAGTTTCTATGTTTTAATTCCAATACTGAATTCGTATTCTTTAAAATGATTAATCAACTAACTATTGACTAATGAAATACGTGGACTTACATAGATCACTCGCATTGAAACCTACATAGATCACTAATTTTGTTTACTTCTTTAAAATATCAATTGAAATCAACAAAGTGAAATTAAGTCACTTGAGCAAACTTTAGCATAAAATCGTGAAAGCGGCATCATATATTATAAATGTCTGTTTTCAAGAAAGAAAAAGAAAAAGAAAGTTAGCACCATATTTGACATTTTAAAAAATTTCAAGAGTCCATAGAAACTGAATAATTAGAAATTACTAATATTGAGTTTTGAACTAAAATTTTGAATAAAAAGATATGCACTTAAATTAGTTTTCAGTAAACATTCTTAAAAACAATTTGATATGTTTGTGCAAAAACTACATATAAGTTGTTTATAGTGGAGAATTTAATCTTTTGAATGCAAAATCAATTTTTTTTTTCCTAATGTGTGTAAAGTAATTGCACGAAAAAAAAGGGATCACCTTTCTATCTTTTTCCCTCTCCTTCATTAGCGTCGCCCTCAAGCAGGCTTTTCTAAAGTAACGACTACACCCAATCCAAATAAATTGGGATTAGTTATATGAATTTTTAGGGGTTCATTTAAGTCCAAATTTTATATTATTATCATATCAATAGAATAAAAATAAAATAAAAATCAAACCCTATATAGATGATAGTCCAAATTGAATAAATTTTCAGTTGGGGAGTAGTAGTGTTTAGTTTAACAAACAAATCAGAGAGAACAAATCAGTGTGTTTGAAGACGCAAACAATGGCAGTAGCAGCCGATCTGATTGATTTCTTGAACGCTTCTCCTACAGCTTTTCATGCAGTTGGTACTCTACTTTATCTCATTCTATCTTCTTTCTCCCTAATCGCACCACAGTATTGAAATCAGTCTTGCGTTTTTTTTTCTTACTGTTTAATTAAAAATTATGTTTTTAATTGATTTTTCTTTGGTTGGGTTTCTCTAGAGGAAGCAAAGAAGAGGCTTAAAAGTGCAGGTTATGTACAAATATTTGAGAGAGAGGACTGGGATTTGAAAGCTGGGAACAAGTATTTCTTCACTAGGAACCACTCTACTATTGTTGCTTTTGCTCTCGGTAAAAAGTATGCTCCCAATTTTTATTCTTTTTTTATTTTTCTTATAACTTAGGTTTATGTTGTATTGGTTACAGAGAAAGAGCACATGAATGAATTTGCTATGTTTATTCTTATAAATTGGACCTCGTTTATCATTAGTGCCTGATATTAATAAACTCATTCTAGATACGTTGCTGGAAATGGATTTTACATAATCGGTGCTCATACAGATAGTCCTTGTCTGAAGCTGAAGCCAGTTTCTAAGGTAATAATCTTGATTCTGTTAGGAGAGGAAAATTAGATTTTGAAGCTTGTTTAAGTTTTGAATTTGTGGCTTATCAAATATTCATCTAGGTCTCTTATTGATTGGGATTGTTGTAGGTAACTAAAAGTGGATTTCTGGAAGTGGGCGTACAAACGTATGGGGGTGGTCTGTGGCATACTTGGTTTGATCGTGATTTGACAGTTGCGGGAAGGATGATTATAAGGAGTAGGAAAGATGGTTCTGAATCCTACTTGCACAAGCTTGTGAGACTTGAGGAGCCCATAATGCGAATTCCAACTTTGGCAATTCACTTAGAAAGGTAAAATCATAAGAAGATGAACTATCTTCGTCAGATGTTGCATGTTTCAAAATTCATCTCGGGCGTCAGAGGTCTTGGCATCTCTGATTTCTATGCAGCCTACCTGTCTTGTGTCTAATAATTTTGGACCTATTCGGAATAAAAAAAGTTTTGAGCATTTCGTTAATTTGATGTATTTCATAGGATATAGGAGTCACAAATCTTGCTTTCAAAGTTTGAGTAGATTTGAAGAGAAAAGATCTTAGCATAGCTATTGAGTTTTATGTAGCATGCCTTAGCTTGCTTTCAATTGTGAAGTGACATACAATTGGGATAAACAGAAGGGTTTGCATAGGTGCTAATTATTCTTTCATGTTGTTCTAATCTTCTAATTCACCTCCATGGATTTGCATCAATGTATTATGTGGTTACCGTATTCATTAAAAGACATATTATGTGGTCATCATGTGCTTTGTACCTTCAATGAGTCAGACAGAACATCTTTATCTTCTTCGAATTATTTTGACCCATGGTTTGCAAGAGAAATTATTATAGTTTGTTTCCTATATTTGCAGAGGTACGAATGATGGATTTAAGGTGAACACGCAGACCCATCTTCTACCAGTATTGGCTACATCAATTAAGGTAATGTACATTCCATATGTTTGATGCTCGTGTATGTTTGGTGGTGTAATTCTTTATCTCAAGATTGTGTGACTAGAAATTTTGTGTAACTAATTCAATTTATCTACCTTGAGGAGACCTGTCCTCTTCTCTGTACTTATTTCCTTATCAATTAGATTCCTTTCCTTACCAGAAAAGCATTTAAATTATGTGAACTTCTTTGTGATATGATCTAATTCTTTTTCTCACTGGTTTAGATTCTTAATTTGTTAGCATCATCTAGGAAATTCTAATTCTTGCCTACAGTTCACACATTATTCTGACTACTCCTCTCGCTGGTTAATTTGTTAGCATCTAATTCTTGCATACAGTTCACACATTATTCTGACTACTCCTAATCCGGAAATTCTTACCTTGATAAGCTTTTGGCATGTTTGTGGGTCCTTTCATTTTACATGCGCTTCAGAAGAACACTTGAATTGAATCTATTGTTTTGTTGGACATGAAGCATCTGCGAATGCCCTGCTTTGAATGCTTGCTTGAAATGAGTTGCAAACCCACTTTGGACATTACACATTAAGCAGACGAACTCACCACAAGAAAATAGGGAGAAAAAAAAAGGAAAAAGAAATATTACCTTCTTGTTCCATATTATTTTACAGTGTTTAACTTGACACAGAGTTAAGGTGCATGGAAAGTTAGTTTGATAGAGAAACATTGCATCAAAGTGCATCAAGGACGAAGAAGGTAGAGTTTTGTTGGATGAGGGGCTTATCCGTCGGAGATGGCAGACCTACTTCCATAGTCTCTTGAACAAGGAGGGGGGCAGGAGAATTGTACTGGCCACTGGGTGATTTGGAACTCTCTGGGAGTCGTTGTAACATAGGGTATTGTAGGCGGATTAGAGTGGATGAAGTTGAGGGGGCTATGCGTAAGATTAGCAGGGGCAAAGCGACCGGGCCGGATGAAATTCCGGTGGAGTTTTGGAAGAGTGCGGGCAAGGCAGGCCTGGAGTGGCTCACTAGGTTATTTAAT